GAAAAAAACCCAGTTACATGCCTTTTTTTTTGATGGGAGAGTATATGCCACAAAAATAATTATAGAGGTAAATGAAATAAATTTTCATAGCTTTATTAGAGAGGAACATTACTCTGTTGTAAAAGACCCTGGGGGTGACTATCTTTTTCATTTTGTTCCAAATACGACAGCTGATAAAAAAGAAGAACTTATTGTAGATCACTTGATTGACTGGTAAAAAGTAAGAACCAAATTCACAATCTTATGGCTACTGGAGGAGATAGTACAAATGTGAATACAGGTTGGGCAGGTAGTATCATGCAATGGGTAGGAAAAAAATTAAACAGAAGGTTAGTTTGAATTGTTTGCGATCTACACACTGGTGAGTTATGGTTTAGGCATTTTATTAAAAATTAGATGGCGCAACACTTTCTTATAATAAATGGTTTGGATCACTTGGTAAAATGCTTGACGCAGCAACTGAAATTGAAATCAATTCAAACTTTACTATAATAAATTTAAGTCCTCTTTTAAAATATCTCAGTCAGGAGATTTTTAAATATTTAATCACTGACCGAAGTTATTCCTATCAAGTTTGTCAAGTAACAAAGACTGGAATTCTGCCTAGCATATTAGCAATGCTGAAAATTGGACCTGTCTGTCACAGTAGATGGTTAACAACAGCACTTCATTTTTTCAGAATTTGAATGTCAAATCATGGGCTTATTGGTGGAAATCTAGAAAATTTACAAATGATTTTAAATTTTATTGTTAGTGTTTACATATCTAACTGGTTTAACATTAAAGTGATATGAAATTGGATAGAGGGACCTAGACATATTTTGTATCAACTAGAGCTACTTAGAACAATTAGGCGATCAGCGTGATGTGCACATTCTGAAGCCATTTTACAAGCCATGGTTTGCAGCAAAAATACAGAAGAAAGAAAAGAATCTCTAACTAAGATTCTTAAGATTTGAGGAGAAGGAGAAAATGTAACTCTAGATGGAGATAATAGTATCCGAGTAAGACAAACACCAGAAATAAATCCTAATGCTGATCAGCTAGGAGTCCTTATACCATGGGGTTTAAATGTAATTGAGCCACCGCTTACCTGCAATCTTACATCTGCCACCATCAAAGAGTTTATAAACTATCCAATGGAAGTTCTTTTCTCGGACTTCTCATTCACAGTCAGTTGAAAGATGCGTCAAAATGGTAACTGAAGCTGCAGGCCATGTTTACACACACTAGAGAAGAGAATCTTATATACATGCTCAGATTGCAAGTAAACATTTAATGTCGAGAAATAGAAGCAAAAAAGATATGACATACCTTGTTAAAATGCAGGTGGAGTAGCTAAAGAATAAAAAGCGATGTCTTAATTAAAAACTTTAATACTTTTAATAGTTAGAATAGTTGACAGGTTTTTTATATTCTAATCACGGGAAAGAATTACATAAATAATGAAAAATGCTTACTTTATAACAGGGTCGTAGCTAGTCTAGCCCAAACCCCTAAATGGGAAAGGGGATAGGTCTTACGGTTCTTGGTAATAGGGGTTATTTTAGGGGCTCTTTTTCAAATTAAAATAGTTATTTAGTAATACCTTCACACTTGCGAAAAGTGTGGAGTTTTCTTCCACAACGGTGTGTAGCTGTAACTCCTAGACACAAGTGTGGAGTTATTTTCGACACTTTTGTGGAAATAACTACACACTTCTTTGCAGAAATCGAGTTAGAAAAAGTTAATTTCCACAAAAGTGTGCAAAACAACTCCACACTTGTGTCTAGGAGTTACAGCTATACACCAGTGTGAAGGAAAGCTCCACACTTTCCGCGTGCGTGTAATTATCGAAGGTTTTTTAGAACTTGAAGCCTTTACGCCTGGGTTTTTTTTTATGCGTGTGTGTGTGTGTTTTAAGTTTAAAATAAGAGTAAGGAAAATTCGAAATTTTATCGAAACCTAAAGTAGAATTTTTTTATTGTTTTTTATTGGAACCAGTGGTGAGTTTTAGGAAGGGGAGGGGGTTTAGAGGACTTTTTTTCAAAAATATTTTTTTGTAAATTGACTATTATGCAGAACTGGACTATTATACTGACGAATTAAATTCACTATTATACGTAATTATAGGTATATGAACTTACTTATTACACAAAAGTACAAAAAATTAAAAAAAAAAAAAGTTACTTAAAAAGTACTTATCTAAAAGTAAGTTATTTACAAGAAGATAAATGAAAATATGTGGACCTTTTTTTTAGAGTGACAAAAGCCGCCGCTGTTTGGAAGTGGCACTCTTCTAGCTTTCATTTGAGCAAATTTAAAACTCAACTCCTTCATATTTAACAACTTTGTTGTTTTGCTCTCAATAGGAATAATGAAAAGTCCGTTTAGCTTTTCTTGACTGATGTTTGTTCGTAAATAGTTTTTGATCAACTTTAGTTTGGAAAAAGATCTTTCGCCTTGACAGATAATAGTTATTAAGATTCTCAATGCAATACATTGGGGAATATTTCTTCAAGATGATGATTGTACATCATGATAAAAGGCACAAAAACATCAGTGCAATTTCGTTGAAAAAATAATAATAAACGTTAAAACGACGAAAGGTGTAAAAACTCTTATCAAAATTTACCGAGCTAGCACTTAATGAAATTTAATTTTTAAAATTTCTCTGTTCTTAACTAATCATAAAATTACTTTTTTTCACTACTCTTTTTTGATATTTAAAAAAAAAAAACCTTTACCTAGTTTAGTGTTCACGTTTTGAACATATATAATTTTCATTTATTTTTAATGAATTTTAACAAAATAACTAATACAAAAATGTAAAATTTATCATGGCTATTTAGTTTGAATGTTAGATATAATATTTCTAACTTACTTATGCTCTAAGAAAAAATTGTAAAAATGTTTTAACAAAAAAAAAAAAAATTGTAAATATTAGAGTTAATGATTTTTATCATTCACCCATAGCCAATTATTTAAGGCTTAAATAGCAACTCTAAACATCTCTCTCCAGAAGCTGAATATATGCTGATAACTATGCCTATATCTGAAACAATTTCTTTATAAATTGACAGGGTAGGCCCTTCAATAACTTTTCTAACACTCTTCTTCTTGATTAAGTTTTTGATCTAGTGTAGTACCTTGGGATAAATCCCTAAAAAAGGAATGTTGGGGTCATTGTCATAACTTTTGTTTAAGAAATATTAGATGGGGGTTTTAATTGGCTTATCCAAAAAGAATCTCATGAATCAAATTTTGCATAAATAGGAGTTGGATGCGAAGATCGGAATAATAGATATCCAAAAACTCCTGAAAGTTGATTTTCCAAGTTTAGTTAGCCTTCAGGTAAAGAAACAATGCTTAAATGCAAATGTCCTAATAATAAACAAACATGTTTTATGTTTTAAATCTTATATAAATAAAATGATCATTAATAAGATGGTAGAGTTTAAGTGATAGAGTTGCTCAAAATAATTAGATACTAACGATAATGAAAGGTTATCATAATTAGTTTGCTTTCCGTATTGTCTAGGCTTTAGTTCTTTTAAAGTTTATTTAAATTAGTACATTTAAAGCCATAGCTAACTCAAAAGCAATATTATAACAGTTATAGTGATAAGAATCAATACAAAATTTAATTTTTTGAAGCTTTGATTGTCAATTTTAAAACTTTAAAATTTGATTGTCAATTTTAAAACTTTAAAATTTAAGGTATATTATATTGCTTATCTTGGAGACTAAATTGTAATCTTCATCAAATATTTTTTAAAGCTAGAGTTAGATTGAAAGAAAATTTAGTCATCAATTAAGAAAAGTCTTTTGCAGAACAATCACTACTAAATAATTTTAAAGTGGTAAAAAAATACCTAATACCTAGATAAATACCTAGACTTTTCAGAAGACTTTTCAGTTTTTAAACACAAGTACAGCAGATATCGATTAGCTTTACTCGACTAACAGAATAATAATTATTTAAGCATGCGTGAAACTTTGGACGAAGGGCACCTTTAAATAATTAAAGATAGTCAATAAACCTTAAAAAATTTTCATGAGTGTTGTAGTTATTGTCCATCTAACAATAAATGTTTAAGATTGGCTTCATCAGCTAAAATTAAAAACTTGATTTTATCAATTTCAGAAAAAAATCTCCTCAAAAGCCTCACCACAACATTCTATAAGTTGATTTTGTGTGGTTTCAGATATATATGTGGCATTTTTAGGTACTAATACTATATGATCTTATAAGATAGTGTCACCTGCATAAATTCAAAAATTAAATAGTTTGACAAAGTACAACTTTAAATATCGAGGACTCTTCTATATTACAGGAAAATATCCAATATCGTATTAGAGTGGATTCTACTAACAATAGAATCAACTTATAAGATCCTCTTTAATTGAAGCTTAAATTTATAGATTAAAATTTTTTAAAAAAATTAAAAATGTATTATGTTAATTGTTTACACTTATAGGATATGGTAATAGAAATTGTTTATATATCTCTGTAGCAAAACTATTCAACTGATGAATAAAATAAGAATGTTATAACAAGTTAAATGTTATAAAAATATTATAACAGTAAGAACAGAAACAGTTGTGTGTAAGTAAACATCCAGTGGAAAAAAAGACGTCGAAAAGACGTCTTTAAATGTCTTTATTTACGATGTCTTTAAGACGTCTTTTTTTAATCGATTATGCAAATCTAAAAGACATCTTTTTTCGATATCGAAAAGGCGTCTTTTTAGTCTTTATATTGTTATGAAAAGACAAAAAATGCGTCTTTAAGACGTCTTTGTTTATTAATTATGCACTTCTAAAAAAGTTTTTTTGCTTGGGGTTGGGACAACTTTTTTGTCATATTTATTAGTATACTATAGTATGCTATACACTATAATATTCCTACTTTTCATACATGAAAAGCTGCTTTTATCAAATGAAAATGATAATAGCTCTTCATACAATGTATGATAAAAAGCTCTTTCCGATGCCGAGAAAAAAAACTCTTTTAGATGTCAATATAAAAGAAGAAGCATTTTCTGCATCTTTTGTATGTTTAAATATAGGAGAATAATTTATAAATAAAACTACAGTATTGTTCAACAGAATATTTTTTCATCTTTCTCTTTCTTTTTTGTTTCTTGAGCGAGCTCTGTTTCTTGGCATTGTTGAACAAAATTAACTATTTCACGTCGAGAAATCCATACGAGCTGGTTACGACTTCTGGCTGGTTACGACTTCTAAAAAACAAGTGAACATAAAAAGAAGTCTATTGCTTGAATGTAATACAAAAAAGCAAATGAAACTTGATTAGCTGAGTGGAACACATTAGACTTACCGACTATTAATTCAAAAAGGGCTGATCCTTTTAACCTCCTTATGTTTCCAGCGCGGTCCTTTTCTTTTGAACCCACTAGGTTAGATTGTGACAGGAGTCAAACGGTAAACAGTCTAAAAATATATAAAAGTGAGTGTGCTAAAGAAATTTACGACCATCAAAAAGACTGTACAACGATATATTTTATTATGTAGTACTTAAATCAAGCTAAACATTTGCACCTCTCAGATTCGCTATGAAATCCAAGTTATTGAAAACAGATATTGATATTTTTCTGTCTTCTATTTTTAATTGAATTTTGCTGAAATTAAGTGTTGTAGACTCATAACAATTTAAAAATCCGTTATTGACTAAAGACTATCAAAACAAAAAAATTATTCAGCTAATACACCTTGAGAGTTGTTATTTATTTAAACTGGATAAAAGTCGTGTAAAACTATTTTCGCCTGAAACATAATGATGCTTTACATTAAATCATAAAAACATAAAACAACATAAAATCATAAAAACTGGCGATATCATTAGCAACACAAATGAAATACACATAAACAAAAATGAAGACTAGAGAGCTGCAATGATGTTTAGATATAAGAAAGTGTACCTTTCCAGTATCATTTTTAGTTGGTCTTTTGTATCCAAACCAAAAGTTTTGCAAACAGTTCTAAAGATAAATCTGTTTCATTATGTGCATTTTTTTACTTTGTTAATAACAGACAACAATTAACAAGTAAAGAACAATCTTTTGTATAAACAATTTCATCATTCAACTAAATAAAAACAACAAAATTATTCAGATCATTTAAAAATATATATATTAAAAAAAAATTGCAAGCTTACTGAATGCTTCTTCTTTTATATCGCTCGTTTCACTGACACTTGAACAAGTAAACATAGACAGAAATTGTTTACAGGTTTTATTTTTCGTCTGAAAATAAATATTTTAATTTAATATGTAAAAAACAACGTTCTTCAAGCACACCACATTAAAAAATTAGTCTAAAGATGAAGGAAGCGAATTCTAAAGAACTGATGTTCGAGGAAAAAAATTAGACGAATCAGAGTTTTTGGAGCACTTAGGAACAGTAACAGAAAAAGGATGAGACTTAATTGAATGACGAGTAACACGAGAATGAATTTTAGTAGATAGCACAAGAGACGCTAGCTCTTTAGAGCAGTGCCCATTATAGTTTTGTAGAAAAGAAAAAGAGAAACAACATTACGACGATGTGACAGAAGTTGAAGGTTGGCTGCAAGAGCAGGTCCAACTATGTTTACAATGCGTTTTTGCACCTTGTCTAAAAGAGAAAGGGCATCATTAGAAGATCCGCCCCAGATATGGCAACAGTATTTCATACAAGGCCGGATTTGAGATTTATAGAGATAGAGAATAGAATCCAAAGTAAGAAAGTGACGAGCTCGATAAAGAGAAGCAACTTTAGCAGATGCTAATTTTGCAACGGATTTGATATAAGGTTTCCAAGAAAGATCAGAAGTAAGAGTTAATCCTAGAAGATGAAGGGTAGGAGACTCATCGAGTACATTACTGTTCATAAATATAGGAAGGTCTAAATTATTGTTATAACGATTGGCCGAAAAAAATTGAGTTTTATCTGAATTAAAGTTCACCAGCCACTGCGAGCCCTATGCTGTAGCAGAAGTGAGATCCTTTTCAAGCTCAGATGCCCCCTGCAAGCAATCAGAGGGAGTTGGCTTCTTATCGTGACAAGAATAAATAGTATCATCAGCGAACAATGCCACCTTAGATGTGAGAATATCTGGAAGATCGTTAATGTAAATTAAAAAGTATATAGGGCCAAGGATTGAACCTTGGGGAACCCCTGAGGTTACAGAATAAGAAGAAGAGTGCTGTCCATCAAGGACAACTTTTATACTATGATGGGAAAGGAAGGATTCAATAATCTTAAAGATGTTTCCAGATACACAATAAGAAGGAAGCTTATGGAGGAGACCAGCATGCCAAACTTTGTCAAACGTTTATTATAATATATACAACTATATATATTATAGTATATATGTACATATATATACATATATATAAATATATATATATATATATATATATATATATATATATATATATATATATATATATATACATACATATATATATATATAATATATATATATATATAAATATTTATATATATATATATATATATATATATATATATATATATATATATATATATATATATATATATATATATATTATGTATATTTTACATAATATATTACTTTATTACATAAATTATAAAATATACCCGCTTACCGAAAATAGTTAATTTTTAATTAAATTTCCTATGCAAAAACGTTTCACATAAAAAAAAGTTTTATAAAAGTATTTTGTAATACTTCCTTCAGTGTGTTGTATTTGACTTTTGCTCAGTTGTAATTGTCGCTGTTACAAATTTTGAGTTTAAAAAGCAAGTATCACGCTGTATACTTAAAAAATAATATGCAAAAAAGTTTAGCAAAAAAATGCAATATAATGTCTTCCTTAAAGTATTTTATGTTTTATATGGAATGACTTCTTTAAAAAAAAATTTAGTCAAGTTATTTTGATTTCATTATTACCAATACCTGTCAACTCCCGATAAATATAGTAATTTTAGCCGCAAAGCATTGTGGTATGTCTTGCGGGACCAAGTAATCACAAACAAGGCAACTCTTAGTGAAATATTTATTTGCATTATTCTTACCAGAGGGCTTCCCATAAAAAAACTTTTCTTCTATAAATTAAAATAATTTTAAAACTATTTCATAATATTGCTAATATAACATTTATATATAATCTATCATTAATATGTTGACGCAGGTGTGAAATTTGATGTAAATTTAACATGTTTTGCATAAATTATTCTAATCATGTTATCACTGTATTTGTTTCATATTAGTTTAAATATATACCCCATATTAGTTTAAATATATACCCCTTAATTAGATGCTAAATATATAGTTGATAATACTGAGAGAAAAAACAACAACAATAAATATCTTGTTTCAAAAATTATCATTAAAATAAAATCAAGCATGGATAATGCGAGCTAACTTGTTTTTATATGTCTTGATATTCTCATACAAACATAGTGTCTGATTAAACTTTCTTCTAAATGAAAAGCATGATAAAAATATTCATCATAAAGAAATGAAAAATTTCAATAGTTTTTTATTATTTTATTAATTTGTTGTATAATATTTTTTTTAGTTAATATAAGTTTCATTTGCATTATAAAAACAGTTTCCATTTCGTGAAGTAGGTTTAGTAAAAAAGAATCAGAATTAAATAAGTTAATTTCACAGGGTGTCACTTGAAAGAACTTGTACACATTTTTGACAGACTTGAACTTTCTTTATCAAATTATCTGCAATTAATTTCAAAACCTGTTTAATTGACTGTGAAACTGAATCAGTTGAAACATTTTGTAATGCGTAAGGTTTTTGTTTGTTTTTAAATAATTTTGATTTAAATATTGCTGATTTAAACTGCATTGCTGTTTGTCTGTCATTCCAGCCTCCTTTGCTTCGTACTAATGCAAAAAAAAAAAAAAAAATTATAAACAGTCCTGATTAAATTGAACTGTGCAAACATAAAAAAAATCCTCATGAAGCAACTTGTTTGCAAGACAAAGATTATTAAAAATAGTGACACCTAAACCCCAATGACTGGATATACTTTTTTAGCTGCGAGCACCAGTAAAATGCCAAACCTTAATCCAAACTTTTAAATTTTTAACCTTTTGTATAAAACTACTATTTAGAGTTAAAGCAGAGCGTGTTGATTTATCTGCTTTTAGTTTGCAAGAATTTAAGATAAACATTTTCAGGTAATAGTTTAGCAGAAGCGTATTCAGTCAAAGCAGTAGCAACTTGACTACTAAAAATTTGCGTTGCCAATTTTACTAGCATGGATAATAGTAATCCTGGATCTAAATGACGATCTGTCAACTTTGGCACAAGTCGCACAGCATTAACCTTGTCTAAATTAGTTCCTCCAGATGCTTCCACAATATACAATATAAAATTTTACCATCAGATAAAATATCATGTTTTATTAAATTGTTTCTAACATTTTTATAAGATGAGGTGAATCAAATATTATATAAACTTTTGCTCCTGTAGTGGGATGTGAAATTTGTTGTTTTAATAATAAAAATCCTAAACACTTGAGAGCTCTTGTTGACAAATCTTAACTTGAGATGATAAATATTTATTCTTAAAAGTAGTTTTGACAGTTACATTATTTGTACTGCTATTCTCAACACTATTTATTTAATTTAATTCAACTTTATCGTTGTTTTCTTTTTTTTTGTATTTTCTTTTGTAAATGAAGTCTGTTTGTAGGCTGTTTTTTCTTAAATTAAAGGTAGAAGGTTGATTTGGAAAGTTAAAAATTGTTGGTACAGAAGTAACAAGTGCTCTTTTACTACCATTATTGGCAAGACAGTATTGGAAAGAATCAAAATGTTCACAACAAATAGTATATTTAAGTTTAAGTTCTTCACATGATTTTGTATTTAGTAAACTTTCCCCTCCCCCCCCCCTAAAGAAAAAAAATTTCTACTGGGTGATGTTTAATTTAACATTTAAATGAAAATTTTCTTTTTTTTTTTTTTTAAATGTCATTGATATAAAAGACGTCTTTTCTACGTCTTATTAAAGACGTACAACCGATTGACGTCTTTTCGACCTCTTTTTAAAAGCCGTCTTTTCCACGTCTTTATTTAGGCTGATTATAAAAAGACATAACAAGTCATTAAAAAGACGTCTTTTATTCGTCGAAAGATTTTTTTTTTCCCACTGGGATTCCTGTGTAAAAGCCGATGTCGGGCCGAACTCGGCTGCCGACATTGGACCAACGGCGTTTATTACTATTATTCGGTTTTTTTATATAACGCATCATTAAAATAAAAAACAGAACCAAATCGATCGTCGGTTGATATCTGATCGTCGGTTGATATCTATTGACTGATCGTCGGTTGTACATCGGCTGAACGTCGGCTGAATGTCTGTTTGATATTCATCGGCCAACAAACACAAAACCGATGCTCAACCGATGTAACAAGCTCGGCCCGAGCTCGGCCCACCGTCGGACATAACACAGGGATAGTTACAGTTACATTGTTACAAAAAATATGCTATTTTTTTATAATAAAGATAGTTCGTGAAAACATAGTTAAAAATCATACCTTAAAGCAGAACTTTGATCTATTTTAAAAGACGGTATAAAAACATTTATCTCAAGGCATCTTCTAGCCAAAAGCTTATCAAAAAATTTGGTAAGAAAATAATTAAGGCGCTTGGGTTATTTAGATTTAAATTAAATATAACTGAACACAAAAAGACTATGAAATAAGTATAGCCGCAAGGCAAAAAGTAATCTAGCCACGGGCTTCGAGTGTTGACGGTATACGACTTTACAATTAAAACACTTTACCTTAAAAAAACAATAATTTGTGGATTGGCAAAAAAACTACTTTATACGGTACAATGACCGATCTCTTTCTTTAATTCGTTTTTTTTTTAAATTTTGAGTAATTGCTTATAAAGCCGATTTTACAACGCAATTAAAAAATAAACTTATTCTAAATATTAATATTATTTTTACTTTGAAATTATTTTAGAATATTGTACAATTAAAACACTTTACCTATCAAACATTATTTGGTACACTTGTTGTTATCTTTTCTTCAAAGTCTTATATAGTACAAGTTTTTCTCCAATATTATAGTTTTTGAAATTTGAACTTAAAAATGTAAAAGGTGTGGAAAAAAACCCACAAAAGTCTGTTGGGACAATCTCAGTTCTTTCAATACTTGACATTTTACTCGACTTATTTTTGTTGTTTACTTCCGCGTACTTACAAACCATAATGCATTGCCTTATAGGGAAAGGTCAATTGCATTAAGTTGTTTCATTAATTACTTATTACAATTTTTTGTTTACATGTTAGATTTCTTAATTATATATCGTAATATGTTATTTGCATGTTTTATCTCTTAAGTATTTCAATTTCTTAGTTACATGCTGAGCTTCTCAATTACATATAATAACTCTTTATTAACAACTTTCATATTCTCAGTTACATATAACAACTCTTTAATAACAACATTTAAGTTCTAAACTACATCTTGAATTAAGTCAATTATCTCATTTATCTCTATTATCCTGAAAAGGTATACTAATCTAGTTAAGTACTAATAAAAACAATTTAGTTATATAAGACATTAAATTTTTGAGTAAAAAAACTTTTAAACTAAAATACCGCTTTAACTACTCAAATATTCTACACAACTATATTGCACTAATATGTTTAATTTTAAGTTATTAAAAAATAATTTTGTGCATTAAAAAAGTTGCATAAAAAAGTTTAATTAATGCTTAGAAAGCCGTGTAACTTGTAAATCATGACCTTAGGTTTTAAATTAAGTGGTTTAGTATTTTTTTCTAAATTATATCATAATTAATAAAACTTAAATATACAAAACATTTTTTCTTCCAAATTACGGATCGGTGGTATTTATGAGGAAAACGTACGCCAAAAAAAACTTTTGACGAAGAAAGGAATCTGTACATAATTATTTATTCTCCATTCCTCAAAAAAAAATTTTAAAATTAGTATAAGATTATGATACAAGTTTTATGATTAGAAAGCGAATAAACATTATGAATTTTAATCTTGGGATTAAACATTATGAATTTTAATCATGTCATTAAATACGAATTTTAATCATGTACTACACAAACCTATTATAAAAGTCTTTAGAGAAATATTTTTTTTGAAAAAAAATCAAATAAAAAAATAAAATTAAACATAGGAAAAAAAATAAAAAATAAAAACAAACCAAAAAAACAAAATAAAAAAATTAAAATAAAACAAAAAAAATAAAATTAAAGAAAAATATGTATATAGAGAGAAATTAAGAGCCATACAACAAAAACAAAAAATCATTCACTGGCCTATAATGATATATTAGTTTTAAAAACTGAAAATTTATTTTTTAATCAGCAAAATTTTATAAAATAAAATATATATAATAAAATTTTATGTAAAATTTTATTTGTATTAAGTTTATATATATATATATATATATATATATATATATATATATATATATATATATATATATATATATATATATATATATATATATATATATATACATATATATATATATATATATATATTTATATATATATATATATATATATATATATATATATATATATATATATATATATATATATATATATATATATATATATATATATAAACTTAATACAAATAAAATTTTATATATAGTTATAGTTGTTATACATTTATACTTTTTTTGCAAGTATTACTAGTGTTTGAATAATTTTATTACTATTTAGCTTGTTATCATTACAGAGTTGTGTTAGTAATTCAAGTGCAGTCTTAAAAACTAAAGTACAGTATTAGAAACTCATAAGGTTTCTCTATTTTCGTTTGTATAAATTTCACCGATAGTGTATACTGATTGTTCTTTTCTTGCTTTTAAACAAAGTAACTTGCTGTAAAGCAATTTTACTTTTTCGCGTAAAGGCTGTACACGTTTTTGAAGTCTCTTTCTTAAGTGGCGTTGTAAAAATATATAAATCAGGGCGTCACATATAAAACCAACTCCATATAAAATAAGTAATCCATTTGAAATATTTGGGTCTGTTAAAAAATATATATATTTCAACAACAGGTTTGCAATATCTGGAGCAACAACAAATGTGATAAACGAAATAATAATGAAAAAAGGAGTAAAACATTTTCCTTTTAAAAATCCTTTGTTTTTTTCACCACTTTTAACTTTCATAAAAACTTTCCATATATACATATATGAACAAAGCGCTGTTAAAAATATAATTCCTTCTAACGTCGGTAGTATATATTTAAAAATAAACACTACATTGTTTTCATTTGAAGTTTTAAGTAGAAGGATAGTTGTTCCAGATACAGCACCGATTCCCCAACAGACAATCAATACTGTACAAACTTTTCTTTTTGTAATTAGTCTCACGTAATGAATGCTCAAATAAATCTCAAAAAATCGGTTCAAAGTAAGTACCATCATTATCATAAAGTTTGGCAGAAGGAAAAATAAACATTCTGAAACTATTAAAGAAGCTATTGTATTTGGATGTGCGTTGCAATGTATTAAAATATTTTGTGTAATATCTCCGCAACAAATTAAAATTACAGATAGACTCAGATTCAAAATAATGATATCTTGAATGCTTCGGATGGCATTACAACAAGTCAACAAGTAAACACCTAAACAATGAAGAGTGATTGCAAAAACGTAAAGGATGAGGGGGATAGTTCCTAGTGTTTCATTTTCAATGACTCTCATGTCTCTAAGATTTACTGTTATTATAAAAAAAATTAAGATTTTATATTTTACTTTTAGATATGTTAATTTTAAAGTAAATACTGAATATCTTCTCTATTAGCTGCTCAACATTTTCCACAAGGTATTAAATTAGTTTTCATTATAAATCTTGTCAATATAATTTAATATTTTGATAACACTGGTTTTAAAAATTCTCTAAATAAATACAAAGAATCTGTTAGAAATACTCTCGAATAATACGTCTGTATTGAAGTTAATTTTCTAAAATGTTAATAACAAAAGTAATGCTCTATTAACATTAAGACATGCCTTCATTGCATGCATCTTTAATAATTTTAAATACCCGGAAACAAACCTTTTTTTTATGTAATTCTTTTTTTAGACAAAACTATATGACTAAGAAAATGTATAATCAGTAAAGTGAAAGTCAATTTGATTTTATTAATTACAGGTTAAAAGTCAATTAAAGATAAAAAATGGCAAAAAAGGATTTTTAACAAACTTTTTATTTAATTTTTTTATCATTTTGTTTCATTTTATATTTTATTAGTTTAGAAAGAAACTATTAAAACTCAATTTTTTTTTATAAATCAATTTTGGTCAACTTTAATCGAAATTAATCGATTTTGATTATGAAAAAAAAAAAATTTTTAAGCAAATCTTTATAATTTTCTATACAAAACACTAAACGATAAACGATAAGTTCGATAAACGATAATTTTCATTTACATGGTATATTCACATGGTATATAATATTCTAACTATTGGGTAGGTGTGTGCAAAAATAGGTAATTTATTTATTTTTTTAATATTATTAACTAAAATGATAAAAATTAATCAAATATATATGCTTCATTACTTACGACTTAGTTAACATTTACGCAAAGATGCCTTGTAAACTCTTTGTGAACTTGTTTGGCAAAAAAGGTTGCTCAAGTGAGCTTTGAGATAGGTGTCGTTTTCAAAACCTCCATCATCAAATGGATTGTTGCTCAGTGAAAGAAACAAGAAATTACCAGTTGGGGTTAAGTCCGGTAAATGCGATGAGTTTTAGTTTTGATGTATTATTGTAATAATTATTTATAATTTTGATTTTTTTAAACAAAATACGACCAAACCAGGTAAAAGAAAAATGTCTTTTTGTCTAGCCCCAGTGACGTCGTTTTAAAAAGAAAAATTAATAAAAAATCAATCAAAGTAAATTATTTACAAATATTAAATATTTACAAGTATTATAAAATTAAAAATTGTACACTTTTGTTAATTTATTTTTACATTTTTCTTCTTTTACAAATACTTTATAGCTTCAGATAAAACTTGAACTTTACAAGACGTTTATGCAATAAATGTTTAATATTTATGATTTATAACATAAGGCCTTTTAAAATGTTTTGCACCATATATAAATAACTTGTTGGCACCATATAACTTCTTAATCTAAACATGAATAAAAGTATATTTTAAATTTTAACACATATATGTTTAGGACATTAAACTCTCCAAGCAAAAAAGGAAATATTCCTGAGATAAATTTTAATAATTTTTTGTCTGGATTAACTATTAATCTATTATATCTTTTAACGATTAAAAACGATTAACTATTATCTAAATGTATTCATGGTAAGACACAAAATCTGAATGAATCCTTGAATAGCGTCATATGGTATAGAGTTCTGAAAAATACTTTTGTTAGTAAAGAACTTACTATGTTGTTATTCATTTTAATGACGTTAGTAAAAGAATATTGAAAGTTTTAATTGAATATTTGATTATGTAACTTATAACAGTAATGATATCTATTTACTTTGAATATTCTTTTGTGAAGCAACTGAAGCGAAAGCATAAATGTGTATAAAGTTAAGATTAGTAACCGATGTTTCAAACGAAACTAATTTTTCTAAATAAATATAGATTTATAATAAACAATTTTAAAATTGGGAACTTTTTTTTTTTAATAAGAGCCAGTCAGTACTTTTTAAGGATTCAACCCCCCCCCCTCCCTCATTTTATTTGTAGAATCGCTTCTGATCATACGCGTCTGTACTAACAGATCTTGTAAACGCGTATATAAAGGTCTGGGGTTGGGGGCCAACAATATTCTAAAGTTATTTTTTAAAATATTTGTCTTAAATAATTTTTAATTAAAGTACAACTATTATCTAGTTTATAGATACAAAAATGCCTAAAAAATATTGAATGGCGTAATGTAATAGTAATTACAATAATGAAATAAAGAAAAAGTTTTCCGGTTCCTTATGAAAACGAATATACTCGTTGGGTGAATGCTATACCACGAGACAATATACCTGACATAAGGGTTGTCAGGTTTTCTTTTCAAAAATAGACCTAAAAAAATAAAAAATACACCAAAAACAAACCAGAACATAAAAAGAAGTAAAGTAGAACTATTTTAACCGAAAATTTTTTTGGTTAAGTATTAATCTCTAAAACATTTTATCAAGTTCATTAGAAGTTTTACAATAAATCCTTTTGACTCATTGAATAAGATTTTATGCAAATCACTTCATCCAACACTTGGTTTGATATTCTGTTTTTGCTTTTCACATAGATGACCTGTAAAATTTAAACCTGTTTAAATTTTGGCTTTTATTCTTACTCATTTGTTTCTTCATTTATTTAAAAAAATTACCTGAATTAACTGACATTTTTCTTTTGGCTCTATGAATCCGTTAAAAAAAACACGCAAAATAACTTAGATTTGCCTTTGACTCAATGCATCATTGAAAAAAAATAGCTGGAATCAATTAAAAATACATTTCATTCATTAAAGAATCTTAAAGAATTCGAATTATACTCACGATCGCAAATTAAATTTTGTGCCACTCGATAGGTAACACAAATACTCTTTGAAATCAATCCTCGGAAATCAGTCCTTAGTGTTGAATTTTTGGATCATCGTTAAAGTGTAGGCGTCATCAGGAGGGAACAAAATGAAATTGTCACACTCTTGGAATAGAACCCCTGAGGTTACAGAATAAGAAGAAGAGTGCTGTCCATCAAGGAAAACTTTCAAGAAGAAAGCTTATGGAGAAGACCAACATGCCAACTTTTATGAAACGCATTGGAAATGTCAAGAGCGATGGCCTTAACCTCTCCACCTTTATCTAATCCGCGATAAAACCTATTATTACTTTTAGCAAATCAGCCGTAGAACAAGAAGATCATAATCCATATAGATGATCAGAAAGTAAGTTATTAGATTCAAGATGAGAGATTAAGTGCTTGTTAATAAAAGATTCAAAAACTTGCTTATGATAGGAAGAAGACTAATGGGAAGGTAATTAAACAAATCAGATCGCTCTCCAGAATTTTTAAAAATAGGGTTAACAGATGTTGATTTCCAGCAGGCTGGAAAAAAAACTCTGATAAGCACTTGTTGAATAGTTTTGAAAAGATAGACAACAGCTCCGGAGAACACTTCTGCAAGATTATAACAGGTATGTTGTCCGGGCCGCAAGCTATAGAAGAGTCTAAGCAGGAAATCACTATAGATACAGAAGCTGGAGTGAAACGAATGTCAAGCAATGGATCAACCTGTTTGACGGCATTATCCGGTAGAACGCAACTAGTGGAATCAAGAGATGATATTGATGAAAAGTTCTTAGCAAACAATTCAGCTTTTTCTTTTGGTGAGGTGAAAAAGTCTGAACCATACAAAAGAGGTGGAAGTACAGACTTGCCCTTATTATTAATACTATGAAAGATTCTTCAGAAGCCACGAGAGTTTAATTTTTGTGATGAAATACAAGATTTCATGACCTGAGAATAGTGGGCTTTGGCGTCAGACAAAACCTTTTTACAATGATTCCTGGCAGTAATAAACAAACGCCTGTTTTCTTGAGAATCGCTTTGCTGATAGATATGAAAGTTATGGTTTCGATTGGCAATTGTAGCAGCACAATGCAAGGAAAACCATGGAGAAGAGTGAGATTTGACCTGGTATTGTCGAGAGGAAATAAAGGATTCCATGCCAGCCTGAATCCACAAAGTTATGTAAGAAGCACATTTGTCAACAGGAAGATGAAAGATTTTTAACTGTGATTAGAGGCACCTAAGGGTGAACGTAAAGAAACTGAGCACTGACTAGGATCAGGAGTCGAGTAGAGAAGGTAAATGATTCGGGTTGTCTGGAAAGCGAGTTGGAAAGTTGACTATTTGAGTTAGGAATTGAGAAAAGCAAAAGTTGTGGGCTTAAATGCCTGCAGAGTCACTGACACTAGAGCCAAGCCATTCAGTGTGATGAACATTAAAGTCACCGACAGCAACAATATTGGCTGATGGATAAAAGAGAGGGCTTGTTCAATATGATCTGAAATGACATCAAGAAGAGTGCAGTCTTGAGATGAAGGAGAGCAATATAGAATAAAGAGAAAGGTGATAGAGTGAAGTGGTGCTAAACAAAAGCCCATAAAAAAGTATACTATAGATTCGAACCTAGTTTCCCAACAAATGGGTTAATTCTTACGAATATAAATGACCAGGCCAAGCATGTGACTATTGGAGTCTTTACGAATTAAAGGAAGATAACCATCAACACTAAGATCACATAGCTGAATTCAAATTAGTCTCATAAAGAGCAAGTATTTCTGTTGAATTTTGCAAGAGATTAGACTCAACAAAAACACGAATACTAGTGATTGATAGGTTTAGCAAAGTTGGTAATGACAGTGGTTTTTGTGTTTTATAGTTTTTGGTACTTTATTCATTTTTAAATTTGTTAAAAAACTTGACTCAAAACAAAGATAACTATAACAAACTATAACAAAAACTATAACAACTCAAACAGAAGAAAACACTACAAAATTGGATTCAAACAAAAATAAGATACTAGTTAAAATGTGAATTTAAAGCTTTTGAATCGCTGATGTGTCAAGCAAAAACACAATTTAAAAAAATAAAAAAACAATAGGAAACCAAGTAAAACTAGACTAATATAATATGAAGAAAAGAAAAAGAAACTTATAAGAAAAAGTTGATAAAAAAAATCTGTAAAAAATCCATAACGAAAGAAAAAATTCTTTATACCTCCACTACAGATTTATATATCAAAAGGAATATTCATAAATAGGATATGATTTTGAAAACACAACTTTTTTAAGATATATATATATATATATATATATATATATATATATATATATATATATATATATGTATATATATATATATATATATATATATATATATATATATATATATATATATATATATATATATATATATATATATATATATATATATATATATATATATATATATATATATATATATATATATAGGCCTTGACAGCAATAAATGAGTTCAAGAGCGGCGAAAAACGAATATGGGGAGCCTAAAACGAACATGGGAAGCCATGCAAGCTACTCCTCTAAACAGCTTCTAAGAAGCTGTTTAGAGGAGTAGCTTGCATGTAATATATATATATATATATCTTCTAAGAAGCTGTTTAGAGGAGTAGCTCTACCTCCACTACAGATTTATATATCAAAAGGAATATTCATAAATAGGATATGATTTTGAAAACACAACTTTTTTAAGATATATATATATATATATATATATATATATATATATATATTTTTTTTTTTTTTTTTTTTTTTTTTTTTTTTTTTTAATTTTACATTTGTTGGTCGTATTACAACTATATATTGCCAAAAAAAATAAAATAAAAATAATGATGATAATAATAAACTTTCACAAATATAAAATAAGGTATCTGAAAGAAGATCAAAGGATCTTGTCGTCAGAACCTTAAATAAGTTCAAACAAGCATTAACAGTATCAAATTTTTACAAATTTCATATATATATAATCCAAATATATATTTTATAATCCAAAGAGAGATCACGCGGATCTACTCACTAATATTTTATATAAACGTATACGTGAAGTAAAGAATATAAAATCAGCAAAATAAGTAAGAATAAACTTTTTACAAATATAAATAAGAAAAGGCAAAGTTATTAATATATTATTAATATATTATATATATATTGCAGAATGTAAGGACCTTTTTTTTTT